AGAAAAAATTATATAGAATATTCTTAATCGTCTTTGTATCTAGATGCGATGTGATGTTTAGTAATTTATCCATGACAGAAAAAAAGAAAAAGAATATACATTTAGGTATCTTTTTTTCTGCTATATCCAGTCTGCTAATGTGAGCATCCCGGGTAAAAGTCATGGATTTTGTGTGTGCATGCTTGAAATGATAAGTGTGGTGTAAGATTTAGATGTTGTGATTATAAATGCAGTGTGTAGTTGTTTTTTGGTGTATATGCAAAAACAAACTTTGCGAACGATACAATATATACGCAATCACACATGTTTTGTACTTAAGATGGTAACGATGTATAAAGATCAAGAAAAAGTGATTAAGATGAAGAAAAAGACAGGTGAAACAACATATTCTTCATTTTATCGTTTCACAAACAATAAAAATCATATCAGAGTTCAAACTAATAGAGAATATATTAACCAAATCGAATCTGTCGATTAAATGGCGACACATTAGAATAAAAATTGACCAGTTTATTGGAGAAAGTAAATTTTACAGCTCAAATTTAATATACAACCTTTTACCATTGTTCTCATCCGATAAAGAATCAATCCCTCTTGATTGTAGTGAAAAAGTTTAAAAGTCAGTTTTTGTAGTGAAAATAACCTTTTTTTCCAGAGAAAAATGGCGAAACTGGTCTCAGCTTCACTAGCATATAAACAGTACTAACCATCAGTTCAGTTTGTCAGTCTGATAAGACAGAAGTTCTTAAATCATTAAAAAAGATAGATTTTTTTTCTTTCGATGATTTTTCAATCAAAGTTTTCGTACAAAACATATATGAAGAGAGAGAAGACGAACACAAATTTTGCTTAGGTTAGTTTAGTAAACGAGAAATTGATCGATTCAATTTGGTGTCGGTTCTATTTTAATTCCATGTATGCACGAAAATCACAGACGATCATACTTTTATTTCCATCTGGTAGTGATAATGAAATAAATATTCTCATATAAATTTATTGGTGAGTTATTAATCCAGATGATATAATACTCTTTAAGTTAATGATATATATATTGAAGAGAATGATGTGTCAACAGCAACAATTGTAGTCTTCCCGTTTGTAACCTATCGATGTCGCTACAACATCGTAGAATTTATTGTAGATATAAGAGTTACTATTAGTATTAGTAAAAATTCTGTTTACCATATAATATGAAAGGTTTTTCAATAATAATAGATAGAACGAAGAACACAGTGAATGGTAAAGAAACTAAACATCCATAACTCGTTTTTTTGTACTCTTTTTATAATAATTGATACAATGGGACTGATTTGTCGAAGGAATAGTAACATAGAATTGCTCGTTTTTTTAATTCAGCGTGTCACAATCTATTTTTTAGTGTACACACACTTTTGTTTGCAATGTTGAAGAGAACTCTTTTGAAAACAATAAATGAATGAATAAAAAGCGCGAAGAATCATCTATACTTCATTCTGACTATTATCAATTTTTTTTTATTTTCCAGAAATTGATCATCAAGTCTACATATTGTTTTCTTTCATATATTTTGTAACTATAAATAGTAAAAAATTGCGTTGTTCATCATCGTGTGTGGGATAGTCTCGTGCAAAAAGTCATCACTAATGATTTTACATTGATAAAAAGTACTAAAATTCATCGATTTTATAAATCTGAAAATTGTTCATATATTACATACAAACAAATTAAAAAAAAGATTTATTTACTATCGAATTGAACATCCTTTTATACATATACAAGAGATTATATTTCATACAATAGTGAAAACCGCATTTTTCAACAATGATTGCCGAGTGGTAATTGAAAAGGAAAAAATGCGTGTACTATATGTTTAATTTTTGGCCCCAGTGTCTTTTGTAATTGAACTTTACTCTTCGTCGTTTTACTACTAGAATACACGAGAGATTTATAAGAATTTTTTGACATAAGTGAAATATAGTATGAAATTAGGCTTTTTTCTTGTATATTAAATGTGTTCACTGTTTTCCGCTCTATAAAATCTACGCATGTTGAATGAATACGATGAACAAAAGTTATCTTAAAACTTGTTTGCCAACGTAGTAAAGTTATAAGTGTGATAAGCGAAGAGGTGAAATTGATTTTTGTACCAGCAGGTAAAGTAAATGAGATTATAAATATCACAGTGATTCTGATCGAATGAAAAGAAGAAAACATATCTCATAACTAAATAGTTAAAAGAGATAAAATATGTAGAAAAATTTGACATCAGTAACAACGGGTAAAATATTTGTTGAAAAAAATAAAATTTGTTTTAAATTCTTTGTTTTTTCTCTTTTTCGACGGAAATTTTGAATGGAAAATTCCCTTTAAAAAACGAAACTTTTTGACAGATTTTAATGATTTTAATGTGCAAAAAACAAGAAGAACTTGTTTTCTCTATTGTCATCTCGACATTTGCCAAAAGAAAAAAGAGAGAAAAAAAAATGGATACAGCATGGAAAAGAACTATAAATCCTCGTGTTTTTGTTTTTCTCTCTTCATATTTTCTTAGAAAAAAAACACATACGACAAAACACCATCAGTATTATTATTGTTATGATCATCATTAGGAGTTGAGAAAAACACTTTTTCTATCTGTTTTGTTTTGACTCAAAAGGTAGTGTATAGCAGGAGGAATAAAAAAAGTAGGTTAAATAAAAATTCGCACATGATAATGATTCAAATATATTTATCTTGCTGTCTGATTTGTTCGTCATTATTTTTATCTAGCGCTGTATCCTATGTTCTGACTACTTTTTTTTTCTTCTCTTTGATAGCAGTGTAAATGTGTTGTAAAGAGATCTCTGTCGTATAGTTATTATTATTATTATTATTATTATTATTATTATTATTATTATTAATATTTCTTTGGGTAGAGCTTTTTTCTTCGTATATTTTTTTCCGATTTTTTTTTTTTGAAATATTCTACTAGTTCTGTTTATTACGACAATAACGACGACAGAAAAAGACGACGACGAAGGAAATAGTATATAGTATGAAGCAGGAGACGAATTTACATTGTCCTTCCTCCTTCTCTCTTCTGTGATGCTGATGCTTCTTCCTTCTTTACCAATAATAATAATAATACAAACGTGTAGATTAGAAGAAAAAATTCGCACTATTATTCGAGTAAGCCTTCTTTTTTCTTCTTCTTTATTGTAATTAGACTCTATGTGTGCCTGTTTTAATTCATTATTTGCGGTTATTTTGATAATAGTGAATAGAATACAACAATTACTTTTACATTAATTATAGTAAAAACAAAAGAATAGAAGAAGAATTTTTTCGTTTTTTAATTCTAAGACATTTTTCTTCTTATTTAACGTGAAAAGAGAAGAACGAGAAAAGAATGGTAATTTCATTTTTTATTAACTATCAAATGTTTCAAGATGCTGAAGTCTTATACCACGCCACTATGTAACAAATAAAAGATAGTTTAAATTTTCGTTTCCGTGCATAATTAAATATTTTGACATTGATCGTTATTTCTTGATGAAGAAGATCGAACTAATAAACTAACTCTAAAAATATAGTGCAAATTGATATCTAATTAATCGTATTTGTACGATGACTTATTCTTCTAGTACGTAATCAAAGGTAATTAATTATTTCTACCGTTGTGTTCAAAATTATATGTGTCAGCTATAAACAGAACTTGTTACTATCACAGATTTTCAGCATCACAAGTGTTTCATAAGAGGACAGTATTTTCTATTTTGAATTGATATTGTGCTGACTTTATTTAGTTTTTGCTAACTGTTTTTATTAAAAAATTTTATACGGTTCCAATTTGGAGATATTTAGATTTTCTAATAATTCGCACAGTACAACATTAGAATCAAATACATGTCAAACTAAATAATGTAGTTTTTGAAGAAATTTTTGTATCAAAATGTAGCTGAATATTTTCACTAATTAATTGTAAAAATTTCTTATTTAAACTTGGTATAGGAACAAAAATAAATAAATTTATTCACATAATTTGAATAAGAGAAAAAAGTGAGTATTTAGTGTTTTATTTGAGTTAAACAAAAAAAAACTGAAAATTTCGAGTGATTTTTGATGGTTCAAAGTACTTTACATAAACCGTTCAGGGAATAATTGAACTCAAAGTAGAATGAGCACGTACAAGAGTGGTCTATTGGAAAAAAATATAAAAATATTTAATTGATCTTAAAAAAAAAAACAGTCACCTCAATAGATGAAAAATAAAAGACTGTTCGTCCGCGCCCCCCTCTGTGTATTTAACTGTAATAATATTAAATTAACTCTGAGTGAGTAAATGTATTTATTGAACTGATTATCGTTATTTTGCATTTGTTTCATTGTGTTGTGATGTACTTCCTTCTAGTATGAGAAAAACACTCTCTCTCTCCCTTTTTTCTTCTTTCTTTTTTTCTGCCTTCTTCTGCAACAACTCACAAAGATCTTTTTGGTGTGGCGATGTGTGTTTGTTCTTCTTTGTTATGGATGTGTGTATTACTACCATCTCTACAATTATACAACATAAATATCTTCTAATACGATAGATTTATGATTATCGAAATATATAGAACCGTGAGAGAAGAGTATTTTTATCCATTTTCTTCTCTATCTATTCTTCGAGTCGTTTTTACATATTTTTTATATTTTAGCGATGATATTTTCCATATCTTATCACGCGGCTACTACTATTTTTCCTTGAAAATGTGCAACAAACAATTGAGCTTCTAGATTCCCTTAAAAATTATGATCAAAACACAATTGTTTTCTCACAACAATGTTTAATTTGTAAAGTATTATTTTATCAACTTCGTATTCTATTTATTATTAGGTAAAATTAAGTCAAGCTGTTATATTTATTAACTTAATTTCAATTCTTGAAAACGTTTACTGTTATCAGACTTATATACTTACGTTGCCTCAGGTATTAATCGTTAAATGACGACGATGGAATACACTGTAAACTACTGACCATGGCCCATCGGTCCTCTAAATAGAACATGAGCACTGGTGTCACAGGAGGTCGATTTGATTTTGATGACGGAGGAACCTACTGTGGAGGATGGGAAGATGGTAAAGCTCATGGACATGGAGTATGCACAGGACCCAAAGGACAAGGAGAATATAGTGGAGCATGGCAATTTGGTTATGAAATATCCGGTATCTATCTATGGGTAAGTAAGTTACAACAGCAGAGAAACGTTAATTGATTTTCATTGAATGTTACGCTTTTTTTTTGTTTTCAGCCCGCCGGAAATTGTTATGAAGGACAATGGATGAGTGGAAAACGACATGGACCTGGTGCAGAAAAGAAAGGTCGATGGATTTATAAAGGAGAATGGACTCAAGGTTTCAAAGGCAGATATGGGATTCGTGTGTCGGATATTTCTGGTGCTAAATACGAAGGTGAATGGGCTATACATAAGAAAATTTTTTCACACTTTTCGACTCATCTCACTCTGTACAAAAATAGGTTTGTATACGAAACCTAACAGGGTATAGAGAAGTGCAGCCATTTCTAAATCCTTTTAGGTTTCGTAGAAGAAAAGATACGGTACGAAACCGTTTAAGTGCATAAATTCTATCAGTTTTTTTCTCAGTAAGTAGACAATTTCAGCAGCTTATGAGTGCTTTCATAGTATAGGGCGGCGGAAACTGAGCCAAAAAAATACCTGAAACTTCTGTAACTTTTGATTTTTCATGAGAAAATCATGAGGAAAAAACATAAAGAAATACCGTACCTTTTCTTCTACGAAACTTAAAAGGGTTTAGAAATGGTTACACTTTTCTTTAGGTTTCGTATACAAACCTTTTTTTTAGAGAGCAGTTTCGGTGTAAATTTGAACGATGTAAGGTAGCTGATATTCATTGTCTACTCGTCATAAAGATTTTAAAAGTCTTCATTAGACATGTATTCAAGAAAATAAACCATTAGAATACCATTTATACAAAATCTGTTTATTTTTTTTTATTTCAAGGTACATGGGCAAACGGTTTACAGGATGGATACGGTGTAGAAAGTTATGCCGATGGGGGTAAGTATTATATTCACAATTCAGTTAATAACTTTTATTATATGACATGAAGCGTTTATTTTTGAAACCTTTTTCTCTAAAGTTATAAAAAGCCAACAAAACTCTACAAAAGTAAATCTATAATAAGTGTGTTTTTATTACACTTGTTAGTAATGAATAGAGTCCCTATCATCAATTTTAATCTCATTTCAAAACAGAAAAGTGACAATATTAAACAATAACGATGGCGTAGAGTCATGTCTGCTGAGAGTCAAATAGAAAGAACTATTCTATCGAGGTTTGAATTAGAAATAAATGATAAAATGTATACTAGACTATGTCTGATATCTTTGAGTGGATATTAGAAATGAGTGTGCCGAAATCTAAATTAATGTTGGTAATTGACGGAAATATTTTATTCTATATGCACATATAGATACATATTTGTTGTTGCCCATCTTGTATATCAAAACAAAAAATGTTTGCGATTAGAATATTTTTTACCAAACAACTGTCTCTGAGGTAGTTGGTGGTCTTGTCGTCGGTTTCTTTTCTTTGATTTTTCTTTTTTCCTGTCCTTATATTATTTTCGTATGAATGACATTTAAAGGTAGTTTATTAGCATATGGAAACGCACACATCATACAACCTAAAAAAATAATGATAGATGTATTTTTCTCACTTACTTCAGTATTAATTTACAGATGATTTCTGGTAGATGCAAATTATAGTTGATTATGAAAGTAGATCAACATTTTTGTCATGTTATATATAAATCAAAACGCAATAGTTAAACAAATTCCATTTTCAACAGCAAAAGTCTTTTCGTTATTTCAAACAAAAACACTGAGCACTTTCCGTTATACCTATTTGCGTTTCTTATATGTCGATGTTTGTTTTGAGTAGTGGTGACTCTAATGATATGAACTAATAGGTTCTGGGATTACTGAATTAACCATACATTAGTCAAAAATATGAGCGATGTTTCGAGGATGTTCGAGAACATCCTACTTCTTTTTTATGCTAGATCTGGTGTAGTACTATCAGCTATAACTTACGTTTTTGCTGTAATGAAAACAAAAAAAATAAAAAGACTGATTCTTTTCAAAACTTCAAGATTTATTTTTTTTTATTTAAGGAACATATCATGGTCAAATAACTCAAGGATTAAGAAATGGTTGGGGTATTCGACGTAGCGTACCTTACGGTACCGCATCTCGTTATCGTTCGAAAGATGTTCGTGATTCACTGATATCGTTGCGTAGTGAAGAAGACGATGAACGTATACAACGAGAAAGAGATAAACGTTTCGATGAGAATCGTGGAGGTTTTGTATTACGTGCAAAATCAGACTCATCTGATCGTACAAGTGCAAACCGTCGTGGTTCGTTGTCAAATAGTGTTGAACGTCGTAGTAGTCTAAGAAAAATTTTATTATCGAAATTACGTAAACAAAAGTCGACAAGTGATATTGAAGAATTATCAACAACGAAAAAGACCAGTTCATTTCGTAGTACAGCCAGTACAACGAGTGGTGATTCAAAACATTCGGTTAAAACTGCTCCAATAACAACTACAAACGACGATGGTGATCATAGTTTTATTTCACAAGAAGATATTTTAGACATTAATGTTATCGAAACGTATATGGGAGAATGGAAAGCGGATAAACGAACAGGATTCGGTATAGCTGAAAGATCGGACGGTTTAAAATATGAAGGTGAATGGTTTAATAATAAAAAAAATGGTTACGGTATAACAACGTTTCGTGACGGAACAAAAGAAGAAGGAAAATATAAAAATAACATATTAATTGCCGATAAACGAAAACCTAGTAAATTATTTATATTACGATCGTCGAAACTCCGAGATAAAATCGATCAGGCGACGAATAATGCAGTAAAAGCAGCACAAAATGCTCAACAAAAAGCAGAAATTGCTATGTCGAGGTAAACACCCTCCAAACGAGAATTCTTTGAAAATAAATTTTTCGATGTTTTATTAATATTCACATATACTTTCTAAAAATTTGAGAAGTCGTTGTTCTAGAAATGCTTACTATATACCAAACTTTATCCCTCAACTTTCGAAGACTGATATTCAGCTCAGATGTAAATACTTTGAAACAGATTTGTAGAATTCTAGTATATCTGTGTTCACCATATTCTGAATAGAGTTCGAAAATTTTTCTAAAAAATTGATTATAGCGCATGACTGATTATATTAAAATTAATATTAATGAGAAATTCAATTTTTTGTGAAATCATTATCCATATATTGATACTTTTCTTCTTACACACAATATTCTGAATGAGCCCATTAGCACTGTTATTATCATTCAAACAAGACTGTCTTAAGTTCTATGGTATAACCATCAAACAGCCTATTTTTTATCTTCTTTTGATTAAAAATTTCGTTATAACGAAACTCGTTGCAAATTTGTTGCTCTATATTCTAATAATGCTTTTCAAATATTATCGTTCGGGTGAACTCTTAGTAAAGTTTGACATAAAAAAAAACATTTTTTTCTCTAGGGCTAACAATGCCAGAGCTAAGGCTCATTCGGCCGAAATATATGCAAAGCAAGCCCGAGTCGACAGTGATATTGCAAGAGTATGCGCCAGAAATGTAGCACCAGATTTTCGCCAGCCAGGTAGGTCGATCACTCCTTAGACTCCCTATTCGTGCAATCTGTGACAAGTAATCTGATACCAGTAAGTTTTTTATTGTTTAATGTTTAGGTGAAGAAAAAAGGCCAGCATATATTCCACTTGAAATTGACCAGCATCCACAGAATGGAAAATTCCAGATGGTTGGCAATCATGTAGGCGGTAGAAGTAATGGTGCAATCATTAATGATTCATTATTGCCATCCACTCGTATTACACCTCAACCATACGTCGATCATCGTTATCGAAATATGCTCAATAATCCCCATGGAATATCATCGCTCAGTCCGGGAAACACTTTAAGTGAACGTGAGCCAAACTACCAAACATATCCAATAAATCCTCAAGGATCATATCAATCACCAATGTTACCAAATAATTCACATCAACATCAACAAAACTATTATAGAGACTCACATTTATCGCCCATGACTATGTCTCCCACAATGTATGATGATAATCCAGATCAACAGTCAGGTACTCAAAATGAAGCAAACTATTTTATACGAGACAACCTCTTTTTATTGCAGATTACTTTAACTAAATTTTTTACTGTGTTTTATTTTAAGGATCTTCCGCATCAAAACGTTATTCTGCTTTACAACCATCATTGGGCGATCATAGTTCTACGCCAGGTAATTTAAGTTTTGAAGATGATCATGCATCCCAATCAACTACAAATCCGTCACATTTTGGTTCTTCTCGAACACTTCCTCATTACTCGGACACTGCTGACTCGAGTGTATTTAATAGAGTAGGACAAAAACGTGTAACATTAAAACGAAGTACGCGAGTTGAAGCTAGTACAGAAGATATGCTCAATCCAAATTCATTATCTAATAATGATTTTCGATCTCGAGGTCAAACACCACCAATATCGGCGTCGCCATCTGTCTATAATCCAAATTCACAACAACAACAACTCCATCGCCAGGCGTATCCACAACAACGCAATCAGCAGCAACCACAGCTTCCATCACAAATGATGATGAATTCACCATCATTCCCTCTGACACCGTCTGCCACTGTTTATTTACCCGGAGGAGGAGGAAATGTACGTGGTGTACATTCGAGACACCATGGAGGTCGTTCAAATCATGGTGCTACTGATTTTCAAAATCCTAGTTTTCACGATAGTGGTACAAGTAGTGGCGGTGCCAGTTTTGATCCTGAATTAACAATGCATTTTAATAAAACGGGTATCCTAACAATGTCCGATATAAATACGAATTCTTCTTCAATTGGTGCTACATACTTAACTAATAATAATAATAATAACAATAATAATAATAATAATAATAATAATAATAATAATAATAATAATAATAATAATCTGAATCGAGCTTTATCTCCTCAACCTTCTCCAATACCAGAAACAGCGACGGTTTCTCGTAGAAAGTCGTTACCTAGTATTGTAAAAAGTCCCGGCTATAAAAATAATGAAACAGCACGAAGCAGTGACAATTTAAAAAATAAAGAAACATTTATTATAGAAAACGGTATTCGAAAACGTGTTACTGAACAACCGCGACAACTAACGGATAGTGGTAATCCGGTTCCAATGACGAATATACTAACAAGTAGTGGATCACCGTCATTACCGAGGAAAGTTATTCTCGAAAGTATGACAGATATTGATCAAACATCCACAAATAAACGAGTTAGCATGCCCACGCTAGCTGTTGAATTTTCGAAGAAGAAGCCTGGTAAGTACAAAGGATTATGAAATATACTGCGAGAAACAAGTTCAAACATTGTTTAGGCATGACAAGAGAAGAAGTTTCCCAACTTAGTTCACATCGACGTGAAGAACTACGTCGTGAACGTGAAAGAAATGCAAGCAGTCTCGGTCGTCTTAAAGCAATCTTACAGGTAAATGTGATGCTGAAGAATAGCATGATTATGCATTAAATTCTTGCTATTTATTGCTGTTATTTGCACGAATTGATGAAAGAGTCATGTCTGATAGTGCATGATTTATTTTTTGTTAAAAATACATGATCGTCTCTCAAGTTCTCGAGAATTTGTTCTAAAGAAAGGATACTGATTTATAGTTCAAGTGTTCTGTTATTGGTTGTTTAATTACTTTAAATTTTTTAGCTTTTCAATTCAACTGTAAAGCATCAGAGGCCTTGTCTCTAAAATAAATTCGTTTACTCTACAATAATTAGCTTTCTATCTTAAATAACAAATCCATGAACGAATAGAGATTAATTGAATAGCATAGATCAGTGATACATAATACAACTGAATCAGAGAGAGAATTTCTTCATAGATAAATGCTCATAATAGTTATGTAGTACATAAATATCAATCATTTCTAACAAGTATTGTATCTTTTATTCATTTTAATCATTTATTATTACATGATTAGATATCTTGCCCTGCTCTATTATATTAAAATACAATAATTAAATATAATAGTCAAACATTTATCGACTCGACAGATAGACTAAGTTGAAGATTTTTCTTTAAATCTCTAAATTTAATGTACAGAAGAAGTAGATCAATAAAGTTATCAATAAGTAATTTACACTCTTTTAGTTAATTCTTTTACTCTCTAGACAAGTTTTACTGGACTATTTAGTTTCATAAAATTTAGAGTATTATGCAACATTTGCATGTTTTGCATATTGACGCTTATTTATTATTCATATTTGCAGACTGATTGTGTCTCCGATTCCGTGCATGTATCCTTTATTCCTACACAAGAAGCATCCATTCAGTCAGATTTTGGTGAATCTATTATAGATAGTATTCAGGTATGAATATAATTCCTCTATGACTTTTTAAATCACCATTACTAATATGATATATAATATATTTTTGATTCTTTTCATCTTTTTAGAATTATTTTTATCGAAATCGTGTAATACTAGCAATTTTATTTTTAAATTTATCACTAGCAATATGGTTTATACAATTATTGCGATAAATTCATCATAGAAAATTCATTGTTATTTTTCTTTTCACTGCCTTTGTTAGTCTTTCTACTCCAATATATTCAGCGAATAATAGTATTAAACAGCGATACGAGGGACATTCACGATAATCTTATCAGCTCCTTAACGTCGATTAGATCACACACATTTGGTAATTCTAATACTATGTTTTGTAATTGTTAGAGAAAAATTAAAGAAGAACAGTGTGAAAAGCTCATAAGGCTGTGATCTGTCTTTACAGAAGATAAGCGACAAAAAGAAAGATCTGCACGAATCCCGATTTCTATTTTTTGACCCACATTATTTGCTGAATTTTTAGCCATTATATCACATTTTGTTTTCTCATTTACACATACATTTGTTTATGTTTTCGTTTTTTCTTCTTTTTTTGATACTGTACGATAGATTTTAACTTTTCGTGTTCTTTTTTTATTTATATACACAATTGAAGGTAAACACACGTTTTTTTATAAAAAAAATATGGAAAAATCGTTATTATCAATGGACAAATACAGACCAATAATAGCTAAATCGTGAAGTAAGGATAAATTAGTCACAAACTTTGACACTTAAGCTTGTATTAATTTAACTAGCTCTCACAGAATAGATAGTTATAACGTAGCACTGGCATTCATATTGTTTATCAATCGATGGGTAAAGTCATAGCTTAAGGTATGATACCAGCACAGCGTTGCCGCTATATTGTGACTATGTGCAAACTCATTTGGATACCGATAAGATGAGTCGGATGATGTTTCTTCCGATCCTGTCCAACAGCTTTCAGTTTTTTCGGATTTTTTTACGAAAAATTACCGAAACTTTCACTCAAAAATAAAAGTTACTCAATTTCGAATCAAACAGCATGCGACCTCGTTTTCGACACTGAATCCAAATATGACGTTGATTTTGAAGAGAAATTGAAATTTGGTGGTGAAAATAGCACAAAACTCAATTTTTTCAGCAACAACTCAATATAAATCAAAATCAATAAGCTCTTTTTTTCTCACAGGTATAGTTGGTTAGAATGAAATAGGAAAGAGTGCTTACTCTTTCAACCAGAAAAACTAGATACGTTCAGAAGATGAACTATGGCAGTCAGCGATTTTGCTCATGTACAGATGATTTTTTCGTTATTTCTTAGTTCTTAGTTTAATTAAATTTCTTTATTGTATTCATTGGTTAATGAAGAATAAAAAGATTTTGTTTCGGGAGGTAGAAATAACAATAAAGGTTAAAATTTTACTTACTTTTAAAATTTCACTCATTTGTACCTATCGTCAAAATTTAAATAGTTTGGAATTTTTCCATATAAAAATGCTTTTGAAACTTTTAAAAATGACATTGTCCTATATAACTTGACGAGCTCTATCGAATCATGACAAAAAGAACGAAAAAAAATATATTATTTTTTTTTAATTGCTGGTATCTGATAAATATGAAAGAAGTTATCCCTAAAATGCAAATTTTGTCCCATAGGATTCTATGAATAGGGCGTTTAGCAAAGATTACTAAGGACGATAATTCAAGCAAACATTACAATTTAATCAGAGCCCAAATGTTGCATTACTGCCGTATAATCGAAGGCGTCAAGATCGTAGAAACCCAGTGGCACAGATAATTAACTAATATCTATATTTTTCCGGCGAATAAACAGTGATAAATTATTTACAAGTTAAGGCTTTTTAGTAAAGGATACAGTTCTTACAAGAGCATTAGACAGCTATCTTCTACATGCATTCAAGTATGGTTCAAATCAAAGCGTCATTCTTACGAATCTCGCGTCCCTTCAGAAATTTTCAGAGATTCAGAAAATCTCGGACACCGTACATCCGATTTTGATGAATCTTTCCATAAATGTTAAGCACACTGAGTTATAAGAATGAAAAGTTTTTTTTATCTCCTAGTCTTACCAGAAATCAAGTTCCAAAAAGAACCCTGAAGTGTTTCCCAAGATTTTTTTTATATACTTCACGCTAGAGAGTTCGAGCTTGTTTTATTTTAAACTAGACATCTAACTACATAGGTTGACGATCGATTTTTCAATTGAGCCTTTGTTCGTTTTCTAAAGATCTTCCAACCTCCAAACCGCCTTTAGAGCTTTCTAGAGATTCTTGATTTTCTAAACAACTAAGATCTAATTGAATCATCAGTCCATGTAGAATTCTTTGCTCTTTCGATTAGAAAAAGGAAAGTCTCGCTACGATGAGCCATTATCGAAAAAAGTGTCGTACAGTGAGCATGCCTGCACAAAAAGTGTGTTCTGAGAGAAAACACAGTGCATCGGTTGGTCCATTTTAGGACTTGTAGGAAAATGCTTGTAACTTTTGACGCAAGGTCATACAGAGTTGTGCGAGGTCCGATTTTGATCAGAAAAGTTTACTCTACAAACCTACGCGTTTAGAAAAAGATTTAATTGCATAGGTATCCAGGAAAAGACTATTATTTGAAGATGCTGTTTCTGACGTGCTTAATATAATAAACTAACAGCACATCTGGTTACTATGAACTATTCAAAATTACTGTTCTTGTTGTGTGAAAAAAAAAAGGTTTTCGATTACTGCGGCATAACCATTGCTATGTTCAGGGCTGATTTTGTTTCATCCGAAAAGCATTTCGAAAAAAATACGTTGTTTTTCTTTCTCACTACAGAAAACATTCGTCTAAATATAAAAACGTATTTTAATTCTGAGTGAAAATAGTAAAAGCGTTTTTCCAATTTTTTTTCCGTTTGATTTTGTCTTGACAAAGTAGAAAACATTGGATATTTTTACAACATTTAATGGTGGGATGAATATATCGTTCAGTATAATAATGGGTATTTTTGAATAAAATTGTCCTTGAAGAGTGAAAAGCTTCATAATCACTCAATAAGATTAAGACATAAAGTAAGGCCAAGAATTGATAGACAAGATATATATATGGCTTTTCAACAAAAATCTTGTTCTGATAGCGTATATATAGCTAGAAACTAATCAGAAGACTATGTATAAATCTTTATTATCCGTTGATAGATTGGACACACATTTGAGTATGACTGTAACTGCAAATTGGATATCTAGAAAGAAAAGATAAATTTGTACATGTCATACAGATATCTGTGTTTTTCAGTTGTTTGCAAAGTCGGATTACTGGATGTACTATTAGGAACTTCTTAATGAAAACAAGTCACCTTTCCATCCATATAAGCATAAGTGTCTGTCGCTAACTAATGATTTTTTTGTCTTGTTTTGACAGTTAATTTATTTATTTTTTACTGCGACATAAGCTTTATATTCGTGTAAACGAGATTCACTTGAATCGTAACACAAAACATGCGACTACTTTAATCCAATATATTTAGTCTACTTATGTATGTATGATACTTTATTACACAAAAGAGAACAATCATATATGCTGATATGTGAATAACAGAGACAAGAAAAAATGTTCCGTTAGCACTTGGTTCTTTTTTGATAATTGAATAAAAATGCAAATGATATCAGATTCACTAAGGATTATATGTTTGACTTCAAACAAAAACTGCAAGAATGAAAATGCATTTTGTTAATAATGTTACTCAGTCAGTTGTATATATATCCACTTCATTCTAGATCCAAATTATTTTAGATCAGAAAATCATTCTTCTATCAATACTTTCATTATAAACACACTAGTACAGAAAATACAGTTATGTTATTATTTCAATTATGACAGTCAAAATTTCCATATAACAAGCGCACATATCCATCTTTTTGATCTCTGATTTAGTGGTAATTTCTTTATACATCTAGAAGAAAAAGAAATATAACTATAATTAAGATCTTTTATTTTTTTTCTCTTTAATAATAGAATAATCTTTATAACAGAAAATTCAAGATCGAATCGCCGAATTATAAACGTTTATAGTCTCAATTTTGTTGAGAGAAAAGTTACAGAAAAGTAGTCTCGAGAACTGTGTAGGATCCAGTTCAAGTTTCTAAGGCTTGAGCTTTTCTGTAAAGAAAGAAGCGATTGTAAAACAAACTTTGTTTAGAAAATTCAAGTTTTAAATCGTTATACATTTCAATATTTAACGATTATCGAAACAGTTGATATAAACTTAATTTTATCATACAAAAAGTCGCTCGGTGTTCGATCCGTTAGCTAAAAAAAATTGCAACCAATCCAGCTGATAGAACAGGAATAATCAATCCGCATTTTTTGTCGGTCGGTACAAAGGATGTAAGCTACTCTCCTCCACTCTAGACGTCTCTTCCAATGCCAAAAATTGTTATGTCAAGAATTACTGTAAATGTTTTTAAGGTTTGTGGTATTCTACTGCGTTTAGATGTGTCGAAGGCAACCTCACCGCGAATATCAAACAGGATGTTAAAAGAGTCAACAGCTATCATTGCTCCTCTTACAGAGTTGTTTAATAACTCGCTAGAGTATGAGGAATTTTCAAGGCATGACAATTAGGGTACATAATATCATTATAAAAGTCTAATGATCCTCAGTCACCAAACAACTATCGCCTCATTACACTTTCCCCAGCATTATCAAAAATCTTTGAACGAGTCATTTACCAACATGTCTATAGTTTTCTAAGAATCAACAACGTAATTTGTAAAAACTAGTCTGGTTTTGTACCTCACGACTCTTCTGTGAATCAACTAATCTCGATAGTTGATTTTATTGCTAATAGTTTGAATGAGGGGAATCCGATTTTGGATTCCAGTAAGGTATTCGATAAGGTTTCTTATAGTGGACTACTGGTTAAGCTTCGCAATAAGGGTTTATCTGGCTCGGTGGTTTGACAGCTATCTATTATTCAGACGCATTGTAACTATGGTTGACGGAAACACATAGGATGAGCTATCTGTGACGTACGGAGTCCCCCAGGGCTCTGTATTAGACCGTTGCTTTTTCTAGTCTATATTGACGATCTACCTTTATCGGTTAGATCAACTTGTAAATTATTCGCAGATGACGTATCTTTATACATAACCGCAACCGACATTTCAACTGCTTCTGT